GCAGCGCAGCCGAATCTTCCTCTCCAGAGAGCTCTCCCACCGTTGTAGTGATCGACATCCGGTCGTCGGGAGGAGCACCGAAGGATACCGCTTGTACGCTCTTTGAAGAGGGCCCAGCGCGCTCCTTTGGTGGCTCGACTGGTTGCGAAGCACTAGAGGAGCGATGATCCCCCGAGGGTTGGTTCCCTGAGGGGTTTGCCACCACTGTAACCCTCAGACTACCTGTGCTACTGCCCGAAGTAGTCCTCGCCTGGCTACCACCAGGACGAACACTAGATCGCAGCAGAGGCAACGGAGCTCGGTAATTTTAAAAAAAATTGACCCTTATGACTGGTTTTGTGGTCCAGGGCCACATTTTTCAACCTTCTGATGATATTCAATATATATCTCAGTTTTTATATAATTAGGCATAAAAAATATATTAAACAATAGTGTTGACATTTGGCATCATGCCGCTGGTGTTTATTGTAGACACGGTGTGAGATGGATTGATCAGTGGGATCAACTTCAGATGGGATCTTCAGATTCTTTTCCACTCGCTTAAAGTTTTTGACATATTTTCTGTCTCAAACGAGCCTTAATGGCCCACTGACTGCAGCGAATCTGAGCTCTGTATGTGGTTCTGCAGGAGGAGGATCTGAACTGTGTCCGGGAGCGCTGGTCTGAAGCCCTCATCAAGCGCAGGGAGTATCTGGAGGAGCAGATCAAGAAGATCATCAATAAGTCAGGTTGGCGTTTGACGCATGTGTTGGTGCTGCTGATCTGATGCAGCTGCTGCTGTAGTAGTAGTAATATCTTTATTTGTCCCTTCACAGGGCAATTTATACAGCATCAACCTCACAAACAGACAGATTTTATAAGACATCATGACGAAAACTGATAGAACAAAAACATCACATCAAATACAACCACAACAAAACCCAAGCATTAACAGTGCACCATTTCAAATATGGTACTCCTCATGGTGCACCTTTATCTTTATGTTTCAAATAATTGTTTACAATCAAGACTGCATTTGAAACAAAAGATCTAGAAGCTCTAACAGTCCTCCACTTGGGCACGATATATCGTCTGCTTGAAGGAAGCAGTTCAAATTCTGAATACAAAATGTGAGATGTATCATCTAAGATAGTCAAGGAGTTCCTAAGAACAATTTCTCGCACAGAAACTGTACAGTGCCTGTAATCTTTAACCCCAAATTAACAATGCTCTGCAGCCAGGATCTACTTTTAACATTTAATCCGTAAAAAAACAACAAATCATAGCAAAAGTCAAGACAGTTTCGATAAAACATCTATAAAACATTATCAAAATAGATTTATCCACATCAAAAGACTTAAGCTTCCTCAGCAAATATAACCAGTTTTGTGCTTTTGATACAACAGGACTTTGACACATGTGATGTAATGGCCTGTGATTTCCAGAGAAGTGCGAGGAGGACGTGGAGCGAGAGGCTCGGCTGGTGGAGCAGTGGGTCGCTCTGACAGAGGAGAGGAACGCCGTGCTGGTTCCGGCCCCTGGCAGCGGGCTCCCGGGGGCCCCGGCGCACTGGTGAGAACTGAACCACTGGAAACCAATGTAAACCAGTCCTGATCAATCTTAGCAGCTTTAGAAGACAAGCTGTTTGAGAGAGTGACATAGTGACCCAGGACCACAAAACCAGTCATAAGGGTCCATTTTTTAAAATTTATACATAAATTTATAAATTTATACAAAATTTATAAAAAGCTGAATAAATAATCTTTCCATTGATGTATGGTTTGTTAGGATAGCACAATATTTGGCCGAGATACAACTATTTGAAAATCTGGAATCTGAGGGTGCAAAAAAATCTAAATATTGAGAAAATCATCTTTAAAGTTGTCCAAATGAAGTTCTTAGCAATGCATATTACTAATCAAAAATTAAGTTTTGATATATTTACAGTAGGAAATTTACAAAATATCTTCATGGAACATGATCTTTACTTAATATCCTAATGATTTTTGGCATAAAAGAAAAATTGATAATTTTGACCCATACAGTGTATTTTTGGTGTTTCGGCCTTGGTTTTGGCCGCGGAAGCATGGTAGCGGGCTTTGTCTTGAACGCACTTCATTCCACGAAACGTTTATTCCTTCTTCTTATTTATTTAGGTAAATAATTGACCAACAAAAAACATTAAAATTAAGATACAAATTATACCAAACGAAACTCGTTCCAAAAAAGGGATTCTACAAACAAAAACGTAACAGTTGGCTATTGCTGCAAATATACCTGTGCTACTTATGACTGCTTTTGTGCTCCAGCGTCACATTTGTAAAAAACGAAACATTCCTCGATCAGACCTTTGTATTTATTGGAATATGACTATTAGTAGGGCCCTATGAAATCCGTTTTTTTCTTCTTCCCAAATTCCGTTTTTTCCATTGTAATTGTTCTGGATTCAGTTTTTTTTCCGTTTAAATTTTTCTAGACTCTGTTTTAATGCTTAGATTAAATTTTATTCATCAAAAAGCAAGAAACTTACAATATTAAACAGCTATTTATTGAAGGTTTAACAAAAATGACATGTTTAAGTCTGTATGAAATATGTTTTATTTTTTTCTCAAATTCAGTTTTATTTTTCCCCAAATTCTGTTTTCCATTAACTTTCTGGATTCCATTTGAATGGTTTCATTAAATATTAGTAATCAAAAGCATCTCTAATTAATTGATTTTATTTAAAAAATATATATATTATTATTTATATTTCCGCATTGCGGAAAATCATAGGGCCCTATATTAGTTATTATTAAGGAACAGACAAAATTAAATAGAGTAGAATTTATTTACGTAAAAACATGATGATAAATTAAGATAAAATTCAAATAACATACAAAAATAAAAGTAAAAAATACTATATTATGTAATATTTTAAAATTTAAATAATATAAAATTCAAGGAAACCGTGAACAGAAACAGAAAAATGTATATTTATTTACTGTAACTTAAGTATTAAGGTTTATTTATCTAAAGTACGTAAGAAATTCAGACATTCCCATTAGATTCATGTTACTGCAATAGTCATTTATTTTTGTAATAATAAAAATAAAAAATACAAGTTAAAAATACTTCAACACATGTTAGATTTTAAAATGTAAATCGTTTAATTAAAGGAAATACAATATTAATAAAATTTATATTTTCAGCTACTTTTATTTAACTTAAGTATTAAGACTTTTTAACTAAAGACATTCGCATTAGATGCACTTTATTGTAATAGTCATTTGTTTTTTGTAAAAATAAAAATACATTTAAAATAACATAATAGTAAAAAACACTGTTATATTTTAAATTTGAAATCATATTAAATTAAAGGAAATACAATATTAATCAAATGTATACTTTATGGTACATTTATTTAGCTTAAGTATTAAGACTTATTTAACTTAAGTAGGCTTTAGACATTCTCGTCATTCTCATAGTATAATATTTATTTTAAACAAAATAAAGAAATACAAATAAAAAATTACATAAATTAAAATGTAAATATTTGCTCAGTTATTACATTAATTTTAGTGCTGTCAATCGATTAATCGCGATTAATCGCATCCAAAATAAAAGTTTTTGTTTACATAATATATGTGTGTGTACTGTGTGTATTTATTATGTATATATAAATACACACACATACAGTATATGTTTCAGAAACATGTGTTATGTTTATATATTAAATATATTTATATATAATATAAATGATATGAATATAAATATATACATGTAAATATTTTCAAAAATTATACTGAATGTGTGTGTGTTTATACGTATATACATAATAAATATACACAGAACACACACATATATTATGTAAACAAAAACTTTTATTTTGGATGCGATTAATCGCGATTAATCGATTGACAGCACTAAATTAAATTAAGTATTTTATGTTGTGTTGTTGTTGCTCAAGGGTTCCCCCTGCTGGCATGGAGGCTCATATTCCTGTGCTGTTTCTGGATCTGAATGGTGAGATATATTGATCTTCAGGGTTCAAGGGCTGAAGGTTTTTCTGATTTACATGACTCTGTCAGATCAGTGATTTAGGCTGGTTTGCTTGTGACGGTTATTTTATCTGTAATGTGTGTTTTGCAGCTGATAACCTGACGGTGAACGATCAGCTGACCGGTCCTCACGTCGCCGGTGTTAACTCAATCCTCCCCAAAGAGCACGGCAGCCCGTTCTTCTACCTGCCCATCAACAGACACAGCCATGACGAGGTGACAGGAGTTACACCTGTTCAAATGTGTTTACACCTGTAGGAGTTACACCTGTAGGATTTTTCAAATGTGACCCTGGACCACAAAACCAGTCATAATGAGCTTTATACATCATCTGTTTTGGCTATTGCTACAAATATACCCCAGCGACTTAAGACTGCTTTTGTGCTCCAGGGTCACAAATGTAAATGACCCAATGTGAATAATGGAAATTACCAAAAAGAAAAGTAAGATGTCTGGATGCATTACAGGCATGATAATTAGGGATTGTGGGTTGTCTTGAATAAAATGTCTTACTTTGATATGATATATATATATATATTAGTGCTGTCAAACAATTAATCGCGATTAATCGCATCCAAAATAAAAGTTTTTGTTTGCATAATATATGTGTGTTCTGTGTATATTTATTATGTATATATAAAATGCATTACAGGCATGATAATTAGGGATTGTGGGTTGTCTTGAATAAAATGTCTTACTTTGATAATATATATATATATATTAGTGCTGTCAAACAATTAATCGCGATTAATCGCATCCAAAATAAAAGTTTTTGTTTGCATAATATATGTGTGTTCTGTGTATATTTATTATGTATATATAAATACACACACATGCATGTATATATTTCAGAAAAATATGCTATTTTTTATATTAAATATTTTTATTTTTAATATAAATTATATAAATATAGATATGTAAATATTTTCGAAATATATACATGCATGTGTGTGTATTTATATAAAATCAAAATTTCAAAAAATTGACCCTTATGACTGGTTTTGTGCTCCAGAGTCACATATATGACTGATGTAGCGTTCACATGTCTTGATTTCTCTTGCTGTCAGCTTTCGGCTGTGTGTTCCTGGGATTCCTCCATCCACGACTCCATCCATCTGAACCGGATCACGGCACCCAGCGAGCGGATCTACCTGATCGTGAAAGCCACGGTTCAGCTCAGTCACCCGGCGTCTGTGGAGCTGGTACTGCGCAAGAGGATCGCCGTCAACATCTACAACAAACAGGTCTGCTTCCATACACTAACATCTTAAGTACTTTGTGGAAACAATAATTATTGTGCACTGCTGTTTCACATCAACTCTGCGTCTGAAACTCTGATTTCCCTCCTTTCAGTTGCCATTAGAATTCTCACATTTCTTCTTGTTAATTATTTGATTCATTTTTATATTTTATGTACACTATCAGTCAGTAAGATTTTTTATGTTTTTTTAAAGAAGTTATGAAATATTGAAATTACTTAAGATTAATGAATGTTTAGAAGAATTTTTCATTGACAGTTTATGTTAACTAATGAATTAACTAATGTCAATTAATAGAGCCTTAATGTAAAGTGTGACCAAACAATAAAGAATCAAAACATTTTCAAACAATATCTAGGGCATGTTGTAGTCCAGATTAAAATGTAAAAAAAGTTTGAAAATAAATAGCCTATTAAGTCTAAATATTTAAGTATTTGGCTCTGTGATGAACACCACTGCGAATACAAAAATCTGAATGGCTATTTAAACCATTTAAATACGTTTTAGAAAGTAGTGCAGCTTGTGCAATTAGTGTGCAATTGTGCAAGTACAATCCGTGCTTGTTTACATCAGAGTGCACACGCATCTTTAACGCAGCATACAGCGGTGTTGTGCATTGTGACCAGTTGATGGGAAAAGTATTCTTAAAATGCATTCAAAATTCTGAATAATTTGTAATAAATAATTATTCACGGTATTTAGAAGTGCCCACGATAACAATATCGTGCATATTCATTACCGTGATATATCGCATTACCGAATACCGACACAAGTCTAATGACGACTCGTTTAGGCGATTCAGAATCGACTTTCTCTTTTGAGAGAGAGATATCTACAATATCTTTATTTATCATGCACTTTTTTGATTAACAACTTTGCAGAGTGTTTTCATTTAAGGATAGCTACGTTATAAACTGCAAAAGAGATATTTTTCAAAAACCC